GTCATCACCACCAACCGCCAACTCTTGGACTACTCTTTTACCAACGGATAGTGGGATTGACCGTCACATTATAACGCCCCCACGGCTGAAAGGGCGAGCATGTTTGGTGTGACGGGGATTCGAACTCGCGACCCTCAGATTGCGAGTCGAGCGCCTTAACCATCTGGCCATGCCGGGCCTAGGAGCGACTAATCGGCGATGTGTAGCCCTGGACGAAATTCTGTAACAAAAACAACTTTTATACTAAGCAAATATACATACGAGGTAAATGAGACGCGCATACTTGCGTATAAAGTAAGCATTTCTACATAAATCGCTACAACAATTAAACTGAGAGCAAAATATTCTCTATACAAAACGGCAACAACATACAACAAGGAAGAAAACAATTATGTCGCTCTTGGATCATTTACATTTAGAAAAGGTATCTATTATACATACTCATTTTAATTGAAAATGACTGGCGGAACGGTTGTTGGTATACATACTTTTGTTAACTGAAAATAACTGAATAATTATTATTAATTATTCAAGCTGAAAACTGGTGACATAATATATACGCGAAGAAACGTTTGTTTGTCTTCGAGCACAAAGCTACACAATGGGGTATCTGTGCTGTGCCCTACATGGGTATAGAAACCCGGTTTTTAGCGTTTATCCAGTAAGTATTGATGGTGTTTCTGTAAGCTCGTCAACCATCTGATGACAACATTTTTTTCAGAAATCAAAAACTTCATATTAAAAATTTATAAGTTTGACATTTTGCTTTAAAGTAGTTTATACATAATGAACTTCCAAGATTCAAGTTAAACTCATGCTTTCTACAATTGTGCAAGTAATAAACTTTGCTTTGGACGTATATTTGATAGTTTTTATCAAACTACACATATAAACCCCTTTCACACGGTTATTGTGCTAAAAACAAAAACTTTCGTGTCACGAATAGCAACGAAAAGTCATTAATCTGAAACACGGATAAAAGATGGCTCTGATAAGAAGTGACGGTGACTAAGAAAATGTTCAAACTGTATTACAGTTATGCCCAATAATAGCCCTGTACATAGCATTTGACTATTTAGCAAAGTCTAACTGTAATATGAGTTAATTTAAAAAAAGGGGCTAAAAACACGCGGTTTAAAATAGGACACTTCATTACGTATTTTCAAGTTAACGTGACATCATACGAGGCATCTCATTTTTATTCAATAGTGACTGCGTGTTAAGAATTATTAGACTATATCGCCATCTATAGGGGCAAAATATAGCTATGAAACGTAATTATGACTGTTCAGTCAACCCTTTTCTGTTCGTAGTATAAGGTAGCTTGAATTGTTTTTAAGGATACGACTAATTTAAGTTAGCCTGAGACTTTTCCCCTCATATTATTGATTAAAGCTTTTAATATGTCTCTTGTGGCTTCTAAAATAGCATGGTATATTATAATGGAAATAACGTAATAAATTTTATAATATTTATGTGTGTATTTGTTAACTGACAGATTAATGTTAAGATATAAACTTTCTATTTAATTATTTTCGATCTTTCGCAATATTGTTCATTGGACAGTAGTACTTTCAGGGGCCTCCCAGTGGCACAAGAATACACTTTTTATCAGATGATTTAAACCCAATCTATACATATATTTAGGTAGGCTCCAAACAAATAAACTATTGATATAGTTATGAGGAAATCAACTCTACAAACTCTGTATTAACCCTAGAATTAGCGATGGAGTTCAAAGACCACATGCCCCTCAGTGGCACATCGGTATGTCTGCGGACTTACAACGCTAGAAACCGGGTTTTGACACCCGTGGTGGGCAGAGCACAGATAGCCCATTGTGTAGCTTTGCGTTTAATTACAAAACAAACAGTACTTTCAAGAAATTCCAACGTAGTCTTACAAAAGAGACTAAAATAAGTGAACGAAGAAGACAGTGATTCTCTCATTTGTACTGTCAATACTGAATTTTTAAGGCAAAAAAATATTTCATGCAGTGTTATACCTTCTCCCTAAGTTTGTTATTTTGATGTCCATGTTGTTATTGCCTGTTAGTCACCCGTTTCATTCCCCAGATAAACTAGAAAAAAAAGGTGTAAGTTTACAAGACACTGATTCAAGAACATTCCCAATGAGACTTTATTATTACGTTGTTGAATATAAATATTATTTTAATATGCAAGAAGAAACCCCCAACTTAGCAGACGCCGTTTGTTTACGGAAGGCTTAAGCAGAACCGTGTTTGGTTTGATTATGTATAAGATACGAAGCATAGAACTCTTTGGAAAGCTTTATTCAAAAAATGGAATTGCTGATTGGTAGAAGAAGAAGTTAGCTTTGTTTGAACGTCAGCTGGTAGAAATAGCCTAAATGGATTTGCCAATAATCGGTGATAGCTGCCGCAGCATTTCGAAATGTATTACTGGGTGAATGGCTCAGAATTTACGCAAATCGCTGTGAAAAGTTGGGTATGTATTTTTGTGAGTCAGTTTAGGGAATTCATTCCATGTGTTGTAATGATTAATATTTTTTATGCTTATTAAATTGAGATTGTGACTTGAGTGTGTGCCCTTACAGGTTGCAGATAATTCTGTCATCATTAGCACGTATGTATGCCAACATTCATATGTAGTTTAAAGTTTCTTTCTGCTGTTGTTATTCTTAGAAGCCAGCCGGCAGTTAGCTACGGAAGACAGCAGCGTTCTGAAGGGAAGCCTTTCTGTTATTCGACACCAGCGCCCCATGCGGCCGGTCCGTGGGAGGCAATGGGTGATAGCCAAGGTTCGGCAGTCTACACTACCACCGACAGCATTCCCATGAAGCCGGTGTTTTTACCCGCTGGACTTCGGTTCGGCGAAGTGAACAGCTTGGGAGCGGTGGCTGGACACTCATCTCCCACGATCATGTCCCCAAATCTTCCTGGCATGATCAAGATAGAGCCTCACTCATGTAGTCCTATGGAGACGGGGGAATCAACTTTAGCTCCGGCCTCAACACGATTTTGTCCAGAAGAAGGAGTGTGGTTATATTCCCCTTCTCAGATGTCGATGGGGTCACTCTCTCCGAACTGTATTATGAATGACCAGAAGGCGATGGTCAATAGTGGACTCTCACCAGTTTCGGGTAGTAGCTATGATCCTTACAGCCCAGGTAAACAGTGACATCTTCTGTTAATTATTTAAAAATACAGTTTGATACACATAGTTTAGGGGGGAAAAATATATTTATTGCTCTTACGAGAAAACCTTTGTAGCAATGTTGTACAAATAAGACTCAAATATATTCTTTATGAAAGTTAGTTATAACACATTATTGATGGAACAAGCTGGAAAATCTATTAATGACTATATAAAGAAGATTGAAATATAGAAACAAGACATCAACTATTAGGTAGTATGCACTTGTTCAGAATATAACCTTATTTCTTATAAAAAGTACCATGATTATAGATTTGAGAGAAAAGTGTCTTTGATTAAAACCACAAATAACCGAACACAAAAGTCAGAAAATTTTAACTAATTTTTAAAGATATAATTTGTGTTTGTTTAAAATACTAGAAATTGTTTTCTATCTTAGTGCTGGTTTCCCTCTAAGTTTATGCATTGGAAACGTTTTAAATGTAGTTGCTCAGTACCAGATGCCATTTGGGTCACAACTTCCAGTACTTTAGCTGAAACACCGTTTAAAGCTTTGAAAAGAAAGCATTGACTTGGTGTGGTGGTTGTGAAGCCAAGCTTGCACAAGCGTTATAGTTTCAAGCTGTAAAATTAACGAAACGTCACAATATGCAATCATATTTTCACTTGATTCTGGGTTGGACCAACACTATTTCCTTTAAGAGAAACACATTGAATATTCACGAACAGTAATTATTTATCACGTTATTTTAAACTACTACCGATGAGCAGGAAAATACTGTAACTGTTCCGCTAGTTGCAGCTGAAACAGTTGTTGAAACGATATTTGAAACAATGGTTAACTGGTCCACTAGCTGCAACTGAATCAGTTGTTGAAACGATATTTGAAACAATGGTTAACTGGTCCACTAGCTGCAACTGAATCAGTTGTTGAAACGATATTTGAAACAATGGTTAACTGGTCCACTAGCTGCAACTGAATCAGTTGTTGAAACGGTATTTGAAACAATGGTTAACTGGTACATTAACTGCAACTGAATCAGTTGTTGAAACAATATTTGAAACATTGGTTAACTGGTCCACTATCTGCAACTGAATCAGTTGTTGAAACGATATTTGAAACAATGGTTAACTGGTGCACTAACTGCAACTGAATCAGTTGTTGAAACGATATTTGAAACAATGGTTAACTGGTGCACTAACTGCAACTGAATCAGTTGTTGAAACGATATTTGAAACATTGGTTAACTGGTCCACTACCTGCAATTGGTTCAGTTGTTTAAATAATATTTGAAACATTGGTTAACTGGTCCACTAATTGCAGCTCATTCAGTTGTTGAAACAATCAACACATACTGAAATACTTGTTTTATAATGACGAAGAATACAAAGCATGGTATTAATATTTCTTAAAATTACAGTGCTAAAAAATTAGCAACAGTCCTATTGTGATGTCATTATGTTCGACAGAATGATTTGTTGTTATGTTTTGTCATATTTGATTTGTTTCAGAATTTTTATGCAAAGCCACACAAAAGGCTATTTCCGCATTGCCATTCCTAAGTTTAAAGAGATAAACTAGAGGACAGGCAGTTAGGCAGTAGCCAACTCCTGGGATGCCTTAGTGAGATTTAACCGCCATTATTATAGCACGCAGACATTCCCAAAGTGGGGAAAGCGTTTTTGAGGCAGCGAGCCTCGAACCTTGAACTCTCTGATATACAGGTTTGGCACGTTAAACACTAGCCCACGCACGCCCTCATTTTTATAATAAAAATTGAAATAATTTAATCTTATTTTCTTTTCGTCAGAACACACCATTCAGGATGTTTGTTTTAGACGAGATAAACTTTATGTCAAAACATTACCACAACGGCATCTTGCCCACCAAAACGCAGATGGTTTTAAAACATAAAAACAAAAACTTACAAATTAAACTTCTTATTATTTTGGTTGAAATTATGAAATATTTGATATATAGTGACTTGCTGTGTAATTAGATCAACATATTTCGCATGTTTAAAATTCTCTAAAGAATGTTTCCAGCTGCCATTAGTTAAATCCAGCGATTTCTCAACATAGAGCTTTAGAGTTAACATGGACCGCCGTATTATAATTAGATGCTTGGAGCTTTATTTATTTATTTGTGAAGACTATATTTGTTCCACTGAAAGTATGGCAAATTGTCTGGTGCTTATTTATTATTATTATTTTTTTTTTTGCAAGTGCATCTTGCCAACAGTGAAATTTCACAAGAGTGTTGGAACCATGAGAAACATATGTAATGGTTACGTAACTGACGAAATGCATTAATATTTTTAGCCTAGATTTGGGTGATTTATTAGCAAGTAAATTATTAAACTCTACGTACGTTAATTGTATCAGTTTGGAGACACCATGAGTGCTTTTAGTTCATATAAAACTAATGAATATTTGAAATGTTTTTATTTTCTATAACTAATAATGAACTTCTTGCTTTGTATAGACTTCTCCAATATTGGCATAAATGTTTCCAGGGTTATAGACTTCTCCAATGTTGGCATAAAGGTTTCCGGGTTATAGACTTATCCAATATTGGCATAAAGGCTTCAGGGTAATAAGAGCATTGGAATACTTAGTAAAATGTCAGATACAGATTTCAAGTGGTTTACTTATCAAATCGTTGACTCTATTTCTAAATACCGTATTGTACGTATTTATGTAAGTATAACCTTTAACATCTGAGTAGATTTTATTTCACTCGTTATTGGCAAAAGTAGTACACTGTATTACGTAAAATAAGAACAGAAGGGAACACACCAGATGATGTGAACCGTGTGATGAGGAGAATCTAAAAACCATCAAACTTCAACTTCGAATTTAGTGTTTATTTTGGTATTGCTTCTATTTCAGAAATATAAACACATTGCTTTGTGGATTTGGCCTATTGCCACCACAATAATATGTAAAACAACTTTTAGATATAAGTGATCAATGCTTTATTTAAGGGACCAGAATAATATGGTAGGTATAACGATTCTCTAAATAATGCAGTAATTAAGATAACTAAAAATAACTGGTATATAATAATTCTCAAGAATAATACGGTGAGTGTAAAAAGTCTCTTGAATAATGTAGTAATGAGCAGCACTAAAAATAACGTGATATATATAAGAATTCTCAAGAATAATACGGTGAGTGTAAAAAGTCCCTTGAACAATGTAGTAATGAACAAAACTAAAAATAACGTGGTATATAAGAATTCTGAAGAATAATACGGCGAGTGTAAAAAGTATCTTGAATATTGTAGTAATGAGGAGCATTAAAAATAAAGTGGAAAAGAATTCTCAAGAATAATACGGCGAGTGTAAAAAGTCTCTTGAATAATGTAGTAATGAGCAGCACTAAAAATAACGTATTATATAAGAATTCTTAAGAATAATACGGTGAGTGTAAAAAGTCTCTTGTATAATGTAGTAATCAGCAGCACTAAAAATAAAATGGTAAAGAATTCTCAAGAATCATTTAGTGAGTAAAACACCTACCGAGAATAATATGCTGGGTAAAGCAACACTAAAAAATGATGTTTGAACTATTTATCTACACCCCAAAAATAATATAGTGAGCTGTTCACAACGGTCAAAATTTATACTGTAAATGTACGGCGATTAAACAGTAGCACTCAAGAATCATCTGACGAGTGTAGAATAGCATTAAAAAATAACAAGGTGACCATTTAATAACATTCGTGGCCAATAAACTAAAAAATAATGAAGTAAAACATACACCTGAAACTAGTAGCCTTATTTTACAGGTTATTTAAATAGCAATACCAGTTGTTTTCAATAAGGTGGAAAGTTGGTATACTTTATACACCACAGTAGAACTGGATTTTCATTTTGTAACTTATTAAGAAAAGACTTTGGAATTTTCGATCGATAATATTTAGAAATAAGAGTAATGGACTTAAAATAAGACCCAAAACTCGAACGCTTTAGAATAGTTGACTATTCTTCTTCAGGAGAACAAAGAAGAAGAATAGTCAACTATTCTAAAGCGTTCGAGTTTTGGGTCTTATTTTAAGTCCATTACTCTTATTTCTAAATATTATCGATCGAAAATTCCAAAGTC